TGGACTTGCTTTTCATTGAAAATCATTTTTCTTTTGTTTCACAGAGGTGCTTACTGAAGGATCCCCACGTCCCTTGTCTTCAGTGCCTGATGTAACACATCACTTGGTGACCATGCAGTCAGGAAGGCAGTCATATGAAGTTTCTGTCTTAACTGCAGTAAATCCACAGGAGGTAAAGCTTGCTCTTGCTCTTTGTTTCTTTGCTGAGTTAAATGGAGAATGATTTCCTAATTATTCTAGTTTAGTTGATGTGAAAAAAATCTCCAATTTTCATCTGGGCACTGGTGGCTCATGCCTGTAATTCTAGCTACTCAGGAGGGCTGAGATCTGAGGATGGAGGTTTGAAGCCAGCCCTGGCAGGAAAGTCCATGAGACTCTTACCTGTAATTAACCACCAGAAAACTGGAAGTGGCACTGTGGCCCAAAGTGGTATAATGCTAGCCTTGAGCAAAAAGAGCTCAGAAACAGCAGTCAGGCCCTAAATTGACTGACCAGGAATTCTTTTTGTTTTTTTTTTTTGTTTTTGCCGGTTGTGGGGCCTGAACTCTGGGCCTGGGTGCTGTCCCTCAGCTCTTCAGCTCAAGGCTAGCGCTCTACCACTTGAGCCACAGCGCCACTTGTGGCTTTTTCTGCATATGTGGTGCTGAGGAATCGAACCCAGGGCCTCATGCATGCAAGGCAAGCACTCTACCACTGAGCCACCTTCCCAGTCCTGACCAGGAATTCTTGAGGTTCTATTTCCTGTAAACTGACCAGAGCACCTTTAAGCTTGAGTCCAGTTTGAAAGGAGCCTAGTGTTAGGGTCTTGTGTGTTAATTGATCTGTCACACCTGGACTCTTGAGTTTTAGAGTTACTTTGTACACATTCCCTAAGCAGTGGTGAATGATCCTTCTGTTCTTTACCTCCCTATAATGTGAAAATTAAAATGCTTTTTTAAAAAATTATTTTTTTTGGTCCATCCTGGGGCTTGAACTCCAAGCCTGGCACTGTCCCTGAGCTCTGCTCTACCATTTGAACCACAGCACCACTTGTTTTTTGGTGGTTAATTGGAGATAAGAGTCTCACAGAGGGCTGGGAAGGTAGCTCAGTGGTAGAGTGCCTGCCTCGCATGCATGAGGCCCTGGGTTCGATTCCTCAGCACTATATAAGCAGAAAAAGCCAGAAGTGGGACTGTGGCTCAAGTGGTAGAGCGCTAGCCTTGAGCTGAAGAGCTGAAGGACAGCGCCCAAGCCCAGAGTTCAGGCCCAACGACTGGCAAAAAAAAAGAATCTCACAGACTTTTCCTGCCCAGGCTGGCTTTGAACCACGATCCTCAGATCTCAGCCTCCTAAGTAGCTAGGATTACAGGCATGAGCCACTGATGCCCAGCTTATTTTTTAAAATTTTTATTTATTTATATTTGTGTCAGGCTGAGGCTTGAACTCAGGATCTGGGCTTTTTTTTTTTTTTTTTTGCTTAAGGCTAGCACTCTAGCAGTGCTTAGAGCTCCACTTTCAGCTTTTTTGTGGTTAATTAGAGATAAGAGTCTCACAGACTTTTACAGGTATAAGCCACCAGTGCCCAAATACATTGATAATGATGTTACAAATACCTAGATGTTCCTTGATACAAAACCAGTAATCTCACCACTGAATTTTTTTTGCGGGGGAGGGGTTGTCAGTCATGGGGCTTGAAATCTGGGCCTGGGCAGTGTTCCTCAGCTCTTCAGCTCAAGGTGAGCACTCTACCATTTGAGCCACAGCACCACTTCTGGTTTTCTGGTGGTTAATTGGAGATAAGAGTCTCAGACTTTCCTGCCCGGGCTGGCTTTGAACCACAATCCTCAGATCCAGCTTCCTGAGTAGCTAGGATTACAGGCTTGAGCAACTGGTGCCTAGCTTGAAACAGTATTTTTTTGCTGTAGTTAACATGGCAGCATCATGAAGTGGCCAGAGTGCTGTCCCAAGGCCAATATCTGAATAAGATGGCTCAATGCATGTTGTTTTTTTCCTTTGAAACTAGCTATCCTGATTTATATCTCAGTGAATTTTTTTTATCCACTGTTCTTAATCTTTTACTTAGAATGAATTACTTTTTCTATAACATGATCTAGATTTGCTTTCACTCTCTTACAGTTACTAAATCAAGGAGATTTAACGGAAAGACGGACATGAGCAGAGCATGGGCCCTGACTCTCGGTGGAGCAACTCTGTCTAATCACAGAATCTGTAGTGGGAAAAGGATCCAGAGGCTCACTACCTGCCAGAACCAAAATGAAACTATAAAGGACAAGGCCCCACTTTGCCTGTGTTCATTTTAGCTGGCAGAGAAGATGGATACATGAGCTCTTCAGCCACCATCTGATCCATACAAGGAGCAAAGCAGTGACTTAGGCAATTGAACTTGCCTCTCTTCTCACTGCAAAATTTGGGATAGCCATCTCCCAAAAGTGAATTAATTATGTGTTGGTTAAAGTTTTTCTTTATGACTATTGAGGGGAGGTTTTGCTTTGAAGACTTTTCATCTCAGACTCAGTCTTTTCACATGGATAAAATGTCTAGCCACCAACCTGGAACTTGAGTTTTCAAGATGCCTTGTTGCTTTGAAGAAGGGAGTGATGTCAATTCTGTTGTAGCATTCTCCCTTTTGCAACCTGAGTAAAAGGACTCTCAGCCACAGGGCTGAACAAAATAAATTACTTGAATCTCCCTTTGGCCCAGGCTGAGGTACTATCTTGTCTATATATCTCTACTCAGTCACTTTGCTTTCTTTGTTTATGAAACGTAAGATAGCATGTTAAGAGGGCTTTTTGTTTAAGTTAAAAAAAAATCACATGATCCAGAGCTTCAGTTTTTCCCTTAAATAAACAAAACAGCCCAGTCAGTTCATTGTTTTTTGTTTTAGTAACAACTTTTCTTTGAGAGATGAAGAAAATGATTTCACCTCTTTAAGATTGGGCACTGAGGGCTGGCAAAGTAACTCAAGGGGTACAGCAACCTACCTAGCAAGACTTTGAGTTCAAACTACATCTGAAGAAGAAAAAAAAAGATCTGTATAAGGCGCTGACTTGTTATTAAGATACCATGCAGGTAAGACTGAACTGGGAAATTTTAGGAGACATTACAAGGATTATCCTAGTTGCTAACTGACAACTGATAACCACAAGAAAAGACCATGTCTGCATCTAGATCAGTGGCAATAATGATAGGTAATTTTTAATTTTCCCAGAATAATTGTTAAAGTAGAACATGAGAAATTTGCTCCTTTAGAGATATTCTTGCCTTTTTTTTTTGGTTAGTCATGGGGCTTGAAATCAGTACTTTGCGCTATGTCCCTTAGCTTCTGCCACTGAAAGCTAGTACTTTACTACTTTAAGCCACAGTGTCTTTCCGGTTTTCTGGTGGTTGAATCTTACAGACTTTACTGCCAAGGCTGACTTTAAACTGTGATCCTCAGATCTCAGCCTCCTGAGTAGTTAGGATTACAGTATGAGTTACTGGCACCTGACTAAAATAGCCAGTCTTAAGGAGAAGGAAGATATCCCAAAGATCATCTACTAGTAGAACATCATGGCTGTTGAGAAATTTTGAGTTTATTTAAAATTAACAATGCTGATACATACATACAGTAGAAGTTCTAAACAGATAACAGGAAAGAATTCTGTTTTTAAGTTCTTAATTTGTTAATGAGATGCATAATTCTACTGTAGACCAAGTGTTTGGCAATTACTTGTATTCTTTTTTTCTTCTTCTTTTGTTGGTCCTGTGGTTTGAACTCAAGGCCTGGGTACTGTCCCTGAGCTTCCTTTGGTGAAGGCTAGCACTTGAGCCATAGTAACACTTGGGCTTTTTCTGTTTATATGGTACTGAGGGATTGAATCTAGAGCTTCATGCATGGTAGGCAAGCACTCTACCACTAAGCCACATTTCCAGCTTCTACTTGTATTCTTTTTTTTGTTTTTTTGTTTTGTTTTCTTTTTGGTCCAGTCGTGGGGCCTGAACTCTGGGCCCCTCAGCTCTTCAGCTCAAGGCTACTGCTCTACCACTTGAGCCACGGTGCCACTTCTGGTTTTTTCTTTTTTGCTTATGTGGTGCTGAGAATCGAACCCAGGGCCTCGTGCATGCAAGGCAAGCGCTCTACCACTGAGCCACCTTCCCAGCCCTCTGCTTGTATTCTTGTTTGTTTTTTTTTGGTCCGGTCGTGGGGCCTGAACTCTGGGCCTGGGCGCTGTCCCTCAGCTCTTCAGCTCAAGGATAGCGCTCTACCACTTGAGCCACAGCGCCACTTCCGGCTTTTTTCTTTTTGCTTATGTGGTGCTGAGGAATCAAACCCAGGACCTCATGCATGCAAGGCAAGCTCTCTACCACTGAGCCACTATCCCAGCCCCCTCTGCTTGTATTCTTAAAACACCAGTTTTTGTTTCTTGTAGCCTTACTTTGATACTGAGCCTTGATTCTCAACCTGGGACAACTTTGCTTCCTAGGGTGCATTTTGGCAATACCTGAAGACATTTTTGGTTGTCATAACTGGAAGAGGGGCGTTACAGGCATCCAATGGATAGAGGCCTTGGATGTTGCATCCTACTATGTACAGTACAGTTCTATCCCCTAGTCATCAACAAGAAACTACCTGGCCCAAAATATCAGGTGCTGGGCATGAAAGAACATGTGGTAAGGCTACAACTTTGTTATCTCCCATGAGCTGAATCTGATAAACTGATTTATTTTACCTATACAATATATCTAAATCTTAATTGCCAACATGCAAATTTTTGACTTATACTGAAAATATAGTTGTCCTGGCAAGTCTGGACTTACATTCCAGCAGGGTTTGTACTCTCTAGTCTACTCTCATTTTAAACCCTGCCCTTTCAACCCTCTATGTTTTCTAACCAGCTTGGATAGGCATTTGGCCTTGTGCCCTGTCTTGTATACATATTCAAGTGCCAGACAAAAGAAAGAAGCCTTATCTCTGGCTGACCCCTCCACCCTGAGCTTTTCCACTTTGATTCCCCGGAACTGCTCGATCATCTGTTACTTTTTCCTATTTTCTAACAGTTGCCATGCCCCAAATCCGAGTTTTTCCTGACTTAACTCATGGTTAGCTGCTTGATGATGTTCAATAGCAGTAAAGCTAAGTGGGCCGATTAAGCAAGTAGTTCGAGGTTGTGCAGTGATTCATGATACAGGTCCTCTTCCACTTCTTTCTTGGGGCCTGTAGGCAATTCTAGTGATGCTTCTAAATCCTTCTGTGGATACTTGATGCCAAGTTTTGTAGTCCCATGCATGCTACAAAATAATGGAAAAATTGATGGAACAGAACATTTTTAAGTTAAAGGAAGCACTGCAAAGTTTAAGAATGGTCTTAACATTTTGACTACAGAAGCTATAAAGGGACATTTCTGGATGAAAACAGGAATTAAAAGGAGGACTATTTGGACTTAAGAAAACAAAACTGAGGGCTGGGAAGGTGGCTCAGTGGTAGAGCGCTTGCCTTGCATGCCTGAGGCCCTGGGTTCGATTCCCCAGTACCACATAAGCAAAAAGAAAAAAGCCGGAAGTGGTGCTGTGGCTCAAGTGATAGAGCACTAGCCTTGAGCTGAAGAGCTGAGGGACAGCGCTCAGGCCCTGAGTTTAGGCCCCATGACAGGATCCAAAAAAAAAGGAAAAACAAAACTGAGTGCCAGTGGCTCAGGCCTATAATCCTAGCTACTCAGGAGGCTGAGAGCTGAAGACTGGGGTTCAAAGCCAGCTCAGGCAAGAAAGTCTATGAGACTTATCTTCAATTAACCACCAGTAAAAAGGTAACTAAAAAACAAAGCTCTGGGATAGCATCCAGGCCCTGAGTTCAAATCCCAGGACTGGCACAAAAGGAAAGAAAAAAAATAAAACCACAGTTGAGAATAATAGGAGATACTCTCTTTCCCTTTGACTTAGACAATATCAAAATGAATCATAAAGGAAGTGGGGCTAATGAGTTGCCTGGAAAGATTACTTCATTTTATAAAAAATTGAAGATTTTAAATTTTTTACTTAAAAAACATATATGCTGGGCATTGGTGGCTCATGCCTGTAATCCTAGCTACTCAGGAGGCTGAGATCTGAGGATCATGGTTCAAAGTCAGCCCTGGCAGGAATGTCTGTGAGACCTCAACCATCAGAAGAATGGAAGTGCTGCTGTGGCTTAAATGATAGAGTGCTCGCCTTGAGCTGAAGAGCTCAGGAACAGCGCCTACACCCAGAGTTCAAGCCTACAACCAATAACAACAACAAAACAAATGGATATATGTGATTTTTTTTCCCTAAAAATAAATACTTCTGACTCAGCATTAAGAACTGAAAAATGATCTGATTCAAATTGAATGGTTAGATTTTATTCACAACTACACTATTCTTAATTCAGATATGCTCTTCAAATGTCAAGTGTTAGTGGCTGTTCTGAAGTTTCCTTCTGGGGGCATTACGGGATATGTCAGTTTAGAGCTGCAGTATGAAGGCAGCGTCTCAGATTACCTAGGAGAATCTTTGACTTTGGCTTCCTTCCATTGTCCACTATTTTGACTCTTGTTTCTCACAAAATCTTCCTCCAGTCCCACCTGCTTCAGGGTGTCTCGATATTGTTGTTCTGCCTCTTTCCTGGCAAGATCCTGTGCATGAAAATACCAGTTGTAACTGTGTCTTGAATTGCCACATAACTCTATAAACAATATCCTTATATTTCCTCTTTTACCACCTCTGTGCTAGACAGATTGGCATGAGAGTGCTTTTGAGCTTCAGTGTGCAAGTGAACCCCCTAAGGATATTCTTAAAATGCAGGTCTTTCAGGGACCTACAATTCTGTACTTCTAACAGTTTGGAAACCCCCACTTTGAAAAGCAAGGACTTAGATTTGTGGGAGACAAGTAAGATCCAGATGAAACAAAAGGACTAAAAATATTTTAAGGGCTGGGAAGGTGGCTCAGTGGTAGAGTGCTTGTCTTGCAT